TTACGGTTTTGCCATATAACAGACTTAATTTAATGTGATGACAGATTTATTTTTCGATAGCCTTATTTTCTTTTGACCACAGATTTACTTAATATTGACAGATTTATGAATATTTCACAGATTTACTTAATAGATTTTTTCTTTTTGGCCATAGACTTAATTAAATTTGACAGACTTAATAAGTTTTAAATAGATTTATTTTCCTTTGGCCACAAATTTTCTTAAATTTGATAGACTTAATTAGTTTGTCACAGATTTATTTTCTTTTGCCCACAAATTTACTTTATTATGATAGATTTATTAGTATTCGATAGACTTTTTCCACTTTGGCCACAAATGTACTTATTTTTGAAAGACTTAATTATTTCCATCACAGATTTGTTTATATTTAGAGACAAATTTTCTCAAATTTGACAGACTTAATTAATTTGTCACAAATTTATTTCTTTTTGGCAACAAATTTATCTTATTTTGACAGATTTATTAGTATTTGATAGATTTAATTATGTCACTTTGCCACATGATTTACATGGTAGATTTATATTCTTTTTACCACAAATTTATATTCTTTTAACGATGGACTAACTTATAAAGATTAACCTAACTATACAGATTTGCGTAAACCAAACCGAGCCATAACATATTAACCTAACCAAACCGGAATATGGTATCTATATAATTATATATGAAGTGCGAAATCCTACGTGGCGCCCTCAGAATGAATTTGAGGGTGGTTGATTACAAGGGTACTCTTCACAAAAAATACATATTTACAGCTTATGCCATCGTCATTTAATTACGAAACTGCCACTGTATTTTAAAAAAAAGATTTGTTGGGCTGCCGTTCGGATCCATTATGTTTAAATTACAGCATAAAAAACCCAATGGCCCAAATCGAAAGGAGAAGTTTAACCCATTAGTAATAAAATATGCTGTTTATCGAACAATATGTCTTAGTAATAAAAGCTCCCGATTATCTGCTAAGCTATTAACTCAGAGCCGTCCCACAAGTTCTAAATAACCAAAATAAACCAAATTTTCGATATAATTTTGGTTCG